CCCCTCCCCCCCCCGACCAAGTTCTTCATCAGCTATCTCATATAGTGTTTCTCACGGTAGCTAGGCTCGACTCGTGAAAAAACTTCGGGGGCTCACCGTTCGGGTGGAACGAGATGAAGGATACGGGCTCCGACTCTCGAATTGCTTTGAGGGCGCGTCTAGTCGACGGCCTCGTGAAGTCGAAGATTTTGATCGTGAAATCCCTTGAGCCCGATGCAAGAATTTGTTGTCTGGGGTGGAACGCCAAAGTCGTCACTTCGAAGTCATGGTCGTACAATATTCTAATTACGGGATGGGTCTCCATTCGTTTCTGTATCGTCTCAAGCTGGAAGTCTCGCGGTCCAGCCGTATTCATCGTGAGAATGCGCTCCACGCTGAGTATTTTGATTGATGAATCGACAGAACCTGAATGGAGGGATATTCAAAGGACTATGAAGAGTGATCTTCTTTCAGCTGATAAGGGGAAATCCGGATCTGGACCTTCTCACTCGGATCCCTTCCCACTTCGAGAACGCACCTGTAGCTAAGAGCGTTCCATCTGCATTAAAAGCCCCAGCCCTGCATTCGGATTTGTGAGATGTGACGTACAGCGTCTCGTACTGCGCGGGATCAGGCGAAAAAGTCGTTGACTCGGTCTCGAACTCCAAGTCCAGACTCGGGCCCAGGGTGTACAAGTCTTCCGATGCATGACCTGATCGGAGGGAGTTATTCGTTGGGAATTATCCGATGCACAGGGAATATCACGGTTCTGAGGGAACTCGATCCAGAAGTTTGAGCTAAACCCCGCGATACCTGCCAGGAGCCGCAGTCCTTTTCTATCCGCCTCACTCTGTAGTCCGCTTCGCATGACGTGCAGAAGTTTGTCGGACGGCGGACAGGCTTGACGAATTCCAGCAGCAGCGATTAGCGATGCTGCAAGCTCTTGATGGCCGTCATAGTACAGCTGTGAGATCATCAGTTTGTAGAGCGTTTCCCGATCTTCCACAGTCGGACTTCCCTCTGGATTGAGCATCTGCGGGAAATACATAGGATTAAACTGATGAGATATCGTCCAAGTCGAGTACTGCACGCAAATCACGGAAAGTCTCCCAAGGGTCCCGGGTCTCCCGGGGGCATCCGCCGAAGATGGCAGTCCATGACAAAGCCTCGAACGGGAGTCCCTGCCGTCGGGAATAGGAGGTCGGAAATCACGAGGCCTCGCTCGGAATCCCCTCGTCTCTGTCCGTGTGCGCTACCGGATGGAAGCTCATGTCTTAGGATACTCACGGCTCTATTCGTTGGAATCCCCGTCGAGGGTCGAATCACGGAACTCTGTGTTGAGAAATCGGAGTGAAGATCAATAAAACTTGTTTCTAGGAGCCCCAGAACGCCATAAAGGGGGAAACACAGGATAAAAACATATTCTTGCGTAGAGCGGCGGAGACAGATTGTTTTCTCCGGCAGGGCACTTGCGCGAATGCTTTGGATGTACCCCTCGCTCACGTGCGAGAGGAATAAGTGTTTTCGGAAGCTCGACCCTGAACGATGGGAGGGAGCCGCCACCGATTCCCCAGCTGAAGGACGCTCCTTCCAACACTATTGGAGCCTTAGGGCACTGACGAAATCGTCGTCAAGGAATTCCTCAGTTTTGATTGTCAGCAAATATTTCAGACGCGAAGCGTCTAGGTATTTTTCATCAGTCATCGGAGATTAACCTCGGTGTTAGTCTTTCTCATCGGAGGCTCAGGATCGGCGGAGCACTATTATTAGAAACTCGTATCAAATCAAGTTTTCCAAGTGCTTAAATTACTCTTCGCCGAATCCAGTGTTTCTACTCTGCGAAGAGCGGGGGTCGGAATGAATTGAATGAATGAATAACTCCTTTATCACAAAAGGGGGGGCCTCCTAGCGGGGCAGAAAATATGTACATAAGTGGAGTATCGTAGGCGCCGGGAGATTCTCCATGCGAAGAGCGAGTTAATTCTATTTGTGTTTGCGATGAAACGGGGCTGTACTGAGAGACCGTGTCGAAGATTGGTCTTGCGAGTCGTGAACAACCTATCGAAGAGATCTGCACGCCTGAGCTGTTTGAGAGCCGATAAATTACGGTGTTCCAGCAGCTCTGAGATCGGTGTGAGGTGCGAGATATCCGAATAAGGCCCGCACCTGAACTTCAGACGCCTGATGAAGCACTTCTGTACTCCCTCTACCGCTGA